TGAAACTCGTTGTGTGATCAAACATGGCTAGTAAGAACATTTGACAATCTTCTTTTTGTTGAATATTTCAAACAGGAGAGAAAAAGAAGAAGAAGAACCATGGTTTTGCCTGAGAGTGGGGCTTGCGTGTGTATAGGTAAAAAGTATAGCAAGTTGTTGGGATAATGATGTTAGAGCTTTTCTTGTTTGACTTTGCAGTTCAAGGATGGCGTTCTTCAATTCCACCTCAACTTTTTGTATTCTGCTAACTACTGTGGACGAACATTACAGGCGAGGAAGGTTAGCGGTTAGAATTAGTTTTGATTTTGAAAATTGAATACAAATTTGGAAATGGTTGGTTACGTTATGCCTTGTGATATGAACTCTATATTTGGCCCCTAAGACCATGAACTTGCGTTAGTCCAAAAGTAAGACTAGACTGGACCTCTTGCATTTATACTTTGAAAGCTCTGTTCATTAAAGCTACTTTTGGCTTTTGGGGATCCAAAGTGGCAAAGACAAACATGTTTTTGGCTACACTCACTACCTTGCTTTAATGTTGGAGCTTCAAATTTTCATCTCCACATTTGTTGAACTCTAAAAACGAAAAAAACAAAAATATGTCAGTTTCAAGTTCTTGATTTCTATTTTCGTTAGTTCAACAAGTGGGGTGGGGAGAGATAGTTAGATGTCGAGTCGGGGTGAAATGGTGAACTCGCCTAGATGATGCTTGCACATGGTTGTCTGACGCTCGCTACTCGGTGTTTGCTTTTCACTAAGATGAGACGCCCTATAGAACCTATGACCTTTTAATCGAGAGCATATGTTATTAGAAAAGCTATGTGTAGACTAAATCATTAAAGACAAATTGAAAAAATGGTGGCAAGGACTTTACTATTTGTTCCATGTATGTAGGCATGTTTTGGTTGTTACTACAGGTGCTGGCCATGTACAGGGGTATATGGCTCCTGGCGTCGAAACGTCTCCTTTGTAATGGGAACTTGACGACGAATTTACAACTACCATTGCTATTGGTCTCTTTTTTTTTTTTAGCTTGAGTAGAAAATTCCTGAAAGGTGGCTAAATTGTTTAACACCATTGACTTTTGGCTTATATTTGTGTGAACTAGTAGTTTAAAGAAGCAGCCTTTTTTTTGTTTGAAGCAGCCTTGTTTTTGTTTGTTCTTACTGTTTTCCATGTGTGCTGCTAAACAACTAACCCACCTGGTAATTAACACTCCAGAATTTACATTTCAGAGGGCAAGATTTTCAAACATCAAGATTCTTATCAGCATCAGTGTTATGCTGAAGAACTCGAGACACCGTGCGAAATAGGTAACCGTACATGATTATGCTCTTTCAGTTTGATGTTCAAACCTTTGGGACTGCCTGCTTGGATTATAAATGGTAGCTGACCTTAGTTTTCAGGACACTGCTTGTTGTCATTGACCACAGAAGGAGATTCGGCTAAGATTTCCTAGCTGTCATTAAGACGTTCTAGCAATTAAGGTTTCAACGATAAGATCAAAAAGATTGCTTGAGCTTTATTCGAAATCTAGTGTGCAAATGGCTCCGTACTTGCTTAAGTCAATGCATATCTCTCAACAAGTCACCAATAAGGTGAGAATAATATGAAGTGGACTAATCTTAATTTGATTTGTTTATGAGCATTTAGTCTTGACTTTTCTAGAGCCCCTTCCTTGACTTCACATCAAATGCAAGCTACACGACGATACCTGACCCCGAGTACTGGGTGTAGAGGTATACTTTAAAATATAGCTTTGTATGAATCAACTGCTGAATTTATTAATCTTTGGATGTTTTTTTTTTATTATTATTATTATTATTGGAGGATATTCCTTTTAATGCTTGGAACGATTGAGCTCTAGCCATTGAGACGTATGTCTATGACTAAAAGATCGAAAGTTAAAATCTCTCCACTCACATGTTGAACTAAACGAACTGTTTTATAGAACGGTGATGGATGCAGTTTGTATGGCTCTCCGAACCAGGCGAGATAGTTTCCTATCACTAGGCTCACTGATATCTTTAAGAGTTTCAGTTGAACAGGTGCACTCACTGAAGGAAGCTTTCCGACGCGGAAGAGACCAATTCCACTAGTTCGGATTAGGAAAGAGCAGGTGCAAGTAGAGAAGAGAACACTTACCATTGACCTCACCCGATAGATATGCAATAAATGAATAAATAACTGAGTTTACTTTTTGCCTTAGCTTTTCATTTTTATACTCAATGTCACCACTTGTTTGAAATTCCCTGCATTTGGTACTCTCTTCCTTCCTCCATCATCCAATGAATATGTTTCTTTGCATTGGAACCCTCTCTTCACTTCTATTCATTCAGTATTTATGATTTAAAGTGTTATTCAAGGGTTCTATGAGTTTTTAATGCCTTTTTTCTAACCCGAGCATAGCTTTAATGGGTTAAGACGTTACAACTTTGACCAAAAGCTCGAGTTCGAATCTCTACACTGTGAACTGTCGAACTAAAAAAAAGTGTTGTGCCTCGTATATGGATTTATTTCAAGAGAGTAATAAAATAAAAATTAAAAAATAAAAAATAAAAACTCGATTATTTGGTGTGTTAATATTGAAAGAATTGCAAGTATAATTTTAATATAGTAATTATTTTAAGTCTAATTTCGAATTAATGAGGTGATGCATTAGCAATATTTTTCTAAAATTATTTCATCCACTTACTCTATTAATATTAATTATTTATTAATCTATTAATATTAATTATTTATTAATTATAGCGAAAATGGAGGCTGTGAATCTTCCTCTTATTTCTTTTGCGTATTTTATAATCTTCTTAAATTTATTTAATATATTGCTTTCAATTTCAACCCTTTTCCACTTTACCTACGAAAAAGAAATAATAATAATAATAATAATAATGCTTTTCCATACGAAAACTATTCTTTTTTTAATTTATAAAATTAGTTTATTACTAAATTAGGTTTTTTAGTTTTCAATTTTTGGGTTAATTTTTTAAAAATATTTTTAAAAAATAGAGTTTATAAACTTAATTTAAAAAAAAAAAGAATAATAAAAAATGGTTATGACTCGGGCTTAAAAATCCATATATAAAATAAATCTTTCCCTAATTTATTTATATATATTATTTCTCGTAGTTTAAGTTCGTGTTTGTGTCACTAGTATCTTAACCTATTAATAAAAAGTCTGAACTTTTAGATCTTATGGAAAACAATTGATTGCAGCTTGCAACGAAAATCAATTCCATGACTTATATAAACCCACTTATTTAAATGTATTAAATGTAATGATAGGAACTATGATAAAATTTTATATATAATTTAGAGGCTAAAATAAAATAGATACGAAAGTCGAGTAATACGTCAAGATTTGAACTAAAAAATCACAACTATTTACCAAACTCAACCTTCCCCAAAACCAAATCCAACATTGAGATAGAAAAAATGGGATATTGGAAATCAACTTGCAATGGTTCGAGTCATCTTGACCATAGCCATTGAAATTAAGCTTAGAAATCAAAATGAATCAACGAGTATGAACATTGTGAGGTAGCGTCGGTCCAACCCAACCCAACCATACTCAAAAATTAATTTCTTGTTTCTAAGATATATATATATATATATATAAATGTTTGTGGTTTTGTTGACATAGTAATGAATAAGTTGGGCGACAAGAAATTGAATAATAAATTTGAGATAAGTTCGTGCGACTCATTTTGTTTTTTCATTTTATAAAGAAAATTAAGTATTATAGATAAAACTTTATATTTATTTGTGTACCAAATTATAATTTAAGAGTATTCATTTCATAGTTTCTTTTTTTTTTTTTTAACCAAATTTATAACTCTTGGAAATTTTTATTTTTTATTGGTATTGTTTTATCTGAACAATTCAATTATTTTTAAAAAATAAATAATAAAAAGACAATGTTATAAGTCTATTATTAATCTTGTAATTAAAAAAGAAATTGAAATAAATGAATTAAAATGGGAAAAGAAAAAGAAAAAAAGGAAAATTAGGGTTAGTGGGAAAAGGGTTTGTTTTTGTTGGCGTAGTGGGTGTGTTGGATTCTGGTGCTACCATATGCAATTTACCAAATTATTTGACAACATTTATATATGCAACTACCCATTCATATTCCTCATCTTTCAATATATTTCTATTAATATTATCATATACTTACACCCATTGTATAATACTTTGGTTTTCTATGGTCTATCTTTTCAAATTGTTTATTTTTACTTTCTAATTATTATAACTTTCAAATATCGGCTAATTTTTAAGAATAAGATTACATTTTTTACACCTATCTCTCTTATTTTTATTTGTTTATTTTTAAGATTTTTTTTTTTTATAAAAAAAACATTAATTAATATGCAAGTCTTTATTAAAGAGTCTCTTCTAGTAAAGTTAAGACTCTTTACTTATTATCCACCAAGAGTTATAAATTGAGTCGAGTGGCTATTATTATACTTAGTATTTTCGTAAATTTAAAAAAAAATAAAATAAAAAACGATGAGTTTGAAAAAACAAATTTCAAAACTGAAACAAAAGATCAGAAACTTTTTTTTTTCTTTTCCGTCTGTACGGTTCCACACGCTTAATTATTATTGTAGAAATTACACCAAAATAGCCCCAAGATTTTGTTTTCTAATCTTTAAAATTTGGCCAAGAATCCTAAGATGTAGAATATATATAAAGAAATATTGTTAGTAGACGGAAATTTCTCAGAAGCATAATCCTAGTTAAATGGACCTTAATTATTAGAAATGTAAAGGTTGGGAAATTTACGCATACGTGAAATGTAATTGAAGAACAACAATGAATTATTTCTTGAAATTAATACCGACTTAAAAAGTATTTTTGTGCTATAATGATAGAAGATCGAAATTAACCAAACAGCACAACGAATTAAAATTACTTTCAAGAGATCGTATGATGATCGCATGCCAAATTGATTAAAAGCAATTTTTCACATGAATTATCGGCACGGAGACTGATTCGCACTATATGAAGATCTGGATTTATATATATATATATATATATGTATCGTTGTAAACGAACAAAGAGATCTAGAATACAGTATCAAAAAAGAAAAAGAAAGGAAAAAAAAGGAAAATCGAAAAGACAAAAACTCATCCTGTTCGATCTGCTTAAATATGTACTTTAAATTCAGAGAAACAATCAAGCATGGATATACTCTTTCCAAGCTGCAGAAACTTACTATCGTTCTCAGACGGAGTCAAGTTGAGATCCAAGCACAAAATCCTCCCACCGCCGTTCGTCTTCTTGACCAGAGGCGGTTGAGAACGCGGCGGAGGAGATAAACTACTCGGATGATGATTATTCGTAAGGCGACCGTGATCGGTCAACAACGTGGTGGCTCTATGTCTCCTCATATGTCCTCCTAGGGCTTGGCCAATCGCAAACTCCAATCCACAGATACTACACTCGTGCGTCTTCGGCTTGGTTGGAGAACCTTGCGAGGAAGATCCATCTGAGTTTCCACCGTCAATCCGCGGCTTCTTGTGACTGGCACGGTGGCCGCCAAGCGCCTGAAACGACGGAAACTGCCGATTGCAAGTCTTGCACTCGAAAACACGATTCGGAGATAAAGAAGGAGGAGAAGAAGAAGAAGATTCGAAATCTGCGGTAGTGGTAGCGCTGCTGCGAGAAAGTAACATCAAGCAGTTCGCCATGGTTGTTACGCTCTCCAGGTCTCTCTCTCTTTTCATCATGATGAAAGGCAAATTAAATGATTCTCTCTCTCTCTCTCTCTCTCTCTTGGCTGGTGTGTGTGTGTGAAGAGATGGAAACGGAAATGGCGTTTTGTTTCGATTGAGTGAAGGAATAGACCTCTGAACTGGATTGGTTGTGTTTATATATGCGTGAGAGGAGAGAGAGAGAGACGGTCAGTTGACATTTTGTAATGACAGTTGGGCCCTCGGTATCTTGTTCCAGAAGCAAGAGGGAGTACTGGAGAAATTGGGGAATTCAGTGAGGGTAATTTTGTCATTTGGATTAAACGACATAAAATAAACGCGTCAGCATGAGAACATGGCCGCGTGCTTCAGTAAAGATTAATATTTCAATCTTATTTTAACCATTTTTTTTTAAATATTTAGGAACTTATTCAATGCTATTTGTGGAGATTATAATTTATTTTTGTAACATTAAAAAGATTTAAAAAAATAAAAAATAAAAAATTAATGATTGGAGTCCCCAAAAGGTCCTTTTCTTTTGCAAATTGAGTCCTTAATCTATAGGGATGCCCTATAGAAGTTTTAGGGGTAGGGTGTGTGACCAAAAACAATGAACTACACGACATTTATTTTTAATTACGGAAAAAAACGCTCCTATTTCTTCATTTAATAATTATGTCAATTTTAAAATAAATAATTTATGATAGTTGATATTCAAGAACACTCTACAATTTTCCTTTTTCATCGAAAATCTTATTCAAAACGGTAGAAATAATAAATAAATAAAACAATTAAAAATCATTTTAATTTCTAAATTTATTATTTTTTATTTTAATTACAAAATTTTTAGAGTATTTATTTAATTAATTGTTTTATGTTGTTATAATACATTATCACGTCACGTTGACATGCTTATTCTCTTGAAACTAAGATGATTGACATATGAGTCAGTTGTTAACATATGTGTCCAAACAAGTCTAGATGGTCGATGTATCCTAAGATATGGGATAATATCACGATGCCTGAGTCTTGTTGTTAGGGATCTAAGATGACAATGAGATACAACGTTGTTGTGTTGCAATGATTGATATACACGCATAAACAACGTACATGGCTGAATAAGTTTGGATTTTGTACAAGCAATGTTCAGTTGGTGAATGTTCAATAAAGCCACACAACTGGACGAAAAATAAATATGGGATTTGAGTTGTTTTTAAAGCTGTCATGAGTGTGTCCAAGTCACGGTGGGGACAAAATATTTAAAATATAATAATTTTAATATCTAAAAACAGAAATAAATGTTTTGAATGACAAAAGGAAAATAGATAAGTTTACATATTTTAAAAGCTTAAAAATTAAAATATATTTTAAAATAGCTAATTTTTGCAATTTAAAAAAGAGGTGAACGCCGCAAGTAAAACGCGGAGTTTAATGGACGTTGACCGTTGTACCACTTGTACTTAAAAGGGCACCAACGGAAAAGAAAAAAGGTGGGGACCATCCATTTTCCTTTTTCTTTTTATTTTTTAAATTTAAATGCTTACGTGTACGGTTTCAGATGACTGGTCTGTCCAAGTCAACATAGTGATGTGGGAAGCCACCCCATTGGGGTCCACATGGGCACATGCCAATTGCCAACGCATAATTTCTAGGAAATTTCTGTTTTCAATTCCATTCGTTTAAAATCTGATTGTCAATTTTGGAAATTGACAAAAAGAGTTTATTAACAAAGAAAGTTGTTTTGTATTTTTGGATTTCTCTCGAACGCTAAATCATTTAATTAAAAATAATAATAATAAATTCATCGTTAGCAGATATTATCATATTTATATTTTTCTTTTCAAGTTTTTGTTCAAAGTTTAAAAACGCGTTTATAAGAAAAGTTTCGTATTGGTTCTGTAATATGACGGAGACAATTAATATTTTAAAATTAGAGTAAATAAAATATAATAAATTGATGAGATGGAAGAGATTTGGGGGTGTGGTGGCAATTGATTAGGACCAAAACAAGAGGAACTGTTGTAACGGTGGCAGATTATTTCTCAACTCAACTCCATCTACTTTTGAAAATTTTCCCTTTTAATTTATTAATTATTATTATTATTATTTTATTTTATTTTAAGAGGAGGAAAAGGGGTGGGGGCGGTGTGGAGGCCTTATCTTTTTTATTTTATATTTATTATCAGTACACAACATTGACTTAATTCTCTCTTTTTTTTTTCAAAATATTTAAAGAAAAAAAAAAACCATTGGCCTAGAGAAAAGTTAGTAGGAAAGGGCGAACGTTTATGTAACGCTCGTATATAAAATTTATTAATATACTTCTCTTTTACTCAGACATCATAGTTTCATTCAGAAAGATAGAATGTTTCAGACTTCAATATGTTATAATACTAGAACCGTTAAGTTATTGAATTTCTACGGTTATATTGTTATTAAAGCATCTCTAGATATTGCTACGTTTGATTCTCTTTTTAAATAAAATTTAATATTCTTAAAAAAAAAAAACACGCAATTGTGAGACTTCACATCAGTTGGATAGAGGAACGAATCATTTCAGAGTGTGGAAATCTCTTCCTAGTATACGTGTTTTAAAAACGTTAGGTTGACAACGACGTGTAATGGGCTAAAGTAGACAATATCTACTAGTGGTCGGCTTGGACTATTATAAATGATGTGAAAGCGGTGTGTTAATAAAGTCAAATATCGGGAATGACACATTCCTCGTAAGGGAAATAATCATTTGTTAGTGGTGAGCTTGAGTTGTTACAATTGGTATAAAAGCCAAACATTAGACGAAACAAAACATTTATTATAAAGGCAATCATTATCGACTAGTGGTAGACTTGGACTATTATAAGTGGTATTAGAGTCAGATACCAGACAATGTGTTAATGAAGTCTAATGTCAATTGGAGACAAGACAAACGGTATGAGAGTCAAGACATGGGGCGATGTGCTAATTAAGTCTAGTATCAGTCAGAGAGAGGACAAATGGTATCAGAGCCATATAAAACAATGTGTTAACGAAACATTCCTTATAAGGACAAAAGTTGAACTACTTATCGTGAAAATTGAGGGAGAAAAAGAAAAATTAAGAAATGAAAAAGTCTTTTAAATAATAATTATTCAAAAATTTAAAACGGCACGGAGGTGGTGGAAACCACATCCCGGGCTTGGGCGGGTGCCTTCAAACACGGCGGAACGAAGCTTCCCATTTTTTGTTGCTTACTTGAATTCCGTACACTTTATTTCTTTATTTTTTCCACGCGCTTCACCTCTCCCTCTCAATCTCAATACATCTTTTCAATTGCCTACACTAATTATTAAATTTTGTTTATGTTTTTTTTTTAATTTAAAATTTTATTAAATAAATAATTTCAAATTAAAGAACGAAACATAATTTCTGAGAGGCATATTGTATTTTTCATCCATACATTAGATGTAATATTATATAATTAAGTACGATTTATTTTAATTAATTTTAAGGTACGGAGACGTTATTGTCAATAACAACATAATTTAGCATGTCCATTCCCTATCGAGCTCATTATCATATACCAACACAAAGTCTTTAAAATGTTTTTTTGATCGCAACAGCCACGTGGTCAATTTGAATAATTAATGTATTTATTATATGGTTGATGATAGCCTACCAAAGCTTATGTACGTACCATTCTATTTTAATTAAGTGGTTGGACATGATATTCATTTATTTCAAGCTTTCAATTACTATATATATATATATATATATATATAAATAAATAATATTTATTTATATATATAAGTAATAAGGGAAAAAAAACTAATTTTAAATAATTTTAAAAATGATTTAAACTTTTTTATTTTATAAAAATGGCAATGTATTTTTTAATAGGATCTGTTGAGACAAAAATACCCTCTATTTTCCACTTTTAGCTCAACTAACAACAAAATGGAATATATTAAAGAGGAGAGAGTTGGATTTTATTTATTTATTTATTTGTCCAAAATATACCTTGGTTTATGGAATTTTAGTGGTTTTAATTAAATTTGAGATGAATTTTTTTTTTTTATAATTAATAAAATTATAAGATTTAGATCCCTATTTTTCTAGAGGGCATTTTAGTCTTTACATAAATCCTAAATAATATTAATAAAAAACTTGGTTGGACATATTTCAAAACCCACGACCGTTGCACTATTTTTACCTGCCTCTTATTGGGCTACATTTTATGTCGGTCCATGTTTCTTTATTCCGGCCCATTCCGGCCCATTAACTTAATTTGTCGTAAAAGTAAATATATACAAATAAATTCAAAAAATAATTTTGTGATCATTTTCTTCTAGAAGTGTAATAAATACGTAACTGATTTATAGCATAAATGAAATTTAAATGAGGGGTAAAAAAGGAAATTTGTTTGAGAAGGGATGGGCACAATCAATGTCAAATTTGTTCAAATTTCAATTTTTTTTTGTTGTTGTTTTATTTGTATAATTGAAGAACCACAATCATGGTAGAAAAGAAATATATTATTGATGTCATAAAATAATAACATTTATTTATTATTTTATATCGGTTGAACAGGAGAACGAAACATTTCTTATTAAAGGATGAAAATTTCTTCCTAACACGCGTTTTAAAACTGTTAAACTTACTACGATACGTAATGGGTCAAAACGGACAATATCTATTAACAGTGAGGTTGAACAATTACAAATGGTATCAAAGGTAGACGCTGGGCAGTGTGTCACGAGGACGTTAGGCCTTCAAAGAGGAGGATTGAGAGATCCCACACCACGAAGATATCGAGCCTCCATTAGAGAGGATAATGAATCATTTATAATAAGGGTGCGCTATAAAACCGTGCCGAAGAAAGTTTAGAAAAAGGAAATTCAAGAGATTAATATATTGTACTTAAACAATTATATAAATTTAGGTTTAGCTTGACTTTAAGAGTATTTTTTAATTAAAAAAGTGTTAACAATTATTTGAATAAGAGATGACTTTGAAAGAATGTTGGATTGTGATTTAAAGTAACTAGGGTTAGCAGCTATTAAATCATTTCTTAGCTCAATTATTGGAACATAAAAGAAAATAATAATAATAATTTTTTTGAAAGTCAAATATTAAAATTTGTATTTATCTCCTTTTAC